TTTTTTTGCGGAACCATGGATTGAACTCAGGCCCTTGCGCTTGCCAGGGAAGTGCTTATTCCACTGAGCCATCTCCCTGGCCCCACATCTTATTTTCTATAGAAACTGTGACCCAGCATTTGTTGGTCTTATCTACCAACTCTGCAACTTTATGTGTTCAGAAATAGAATTCTGTCTCTAAATGCACTGTTGACCCTACCTCTGTGGTTGTGAAGGTTTCTCGTCATTGCCTCAAGGATAGGGTGCTTATAAGAATAATCATAAAGCAATTGCTCATGTGTTTATATTTTCTTGGAAGCGTTGGATTCTCTTGCTTTCAAACAGTTTGAGGTTCTATCTTGGATTTGCATTCTAATAATATCAAGACCTCGCTGACCAAATCCTTTCAGTCATACCTTTAAAAAAGACAATAAATTACGTATGTATTTAACATGGATTGGTATCTTAGAAAATAAAACTCTAAAATGTTCTGAAATCAGGATAGAGCTATATTTTATTATGATGTTTATCTTAAATGTATCCTGAGATATCAGAAGTAACAAACTTGAATTTTCAGACCATATCAAATAGTCAGGCCTTGTAAGATTTACTGTACATCTCCTCCCTTCTATAGATTCTCAGGCATAACAAGTTTATTCTAGGGAAGCATTAAACTCCTCCAAATCTTCATCGCAATTATCCACTACACTTAACGAGGACACTTCACAAATAGATTCCATAAGCCACACCCAAACCAAAACATAATTGGATTCTTTCTAGATGTGCCTTGGAGGAATATTTTAGTATTAGGATGCTCCCTGAGAGGAGACAGATGGAATTTAACTTGAAGCCCAAGCCCTGAGCTCCTGACTCAGTAGAACTCTGTGTTCCTGGTGGATTCTTGTCTACACAGAGACCTGTTGTGGCTCTATGGTCATTTGGGGACCACAAAGCATTTGGATAGATTTCAGTCATTGAGAGTGAACTAGAAAGAAAATTTAGATTTCAGTAAATCTTCATGAAGGTCCTGTGTACTTACTAGCTTGGTAAATTCTCAGTTGCAGCTACATATGTCAGCATTTTTGCAGTTGTTTTCACATTTTCTAATAAATAGGCTTTTGTGTAAAGTAATTAAGAATGAGCATCCATTTCTAAACATTTCCATAGAACTTGACCCTTGTTATTTCAAATGATAAATACCTGGGTTTATAACTGTTAGGTATACAGAGTCAGTAGGACTTCCAGGTAGGAATATCTAATTGGTGGTTGAAAAGGCTTTGATGAGTTTCTAAGTGGAACATGGGACATGGATTAAGGAATCATTTACTTATAGGTAGATGGTTTTATTTTTGATTTAATCAGTACACAGACTTAGAAAATAAAGTTAGAAATTATTTCAGTCTGCAATCACACATAAGGAGTCACCAGATGTTGCTATCAAAAAATATAGTAAAGTTGGAAAGGAGTTGGGAAGAGGTGTGGGAAAGGTCTCAAGAAGGGAGGACTGGCCCAATATGGCAGTGGGGTGAGGACAGATCAGATGAAGCTGCTGACCTGAAAGTGAAGGTCCAGAATCCCTTTGGGGCTGGCTGCTCCACAATGAAGCGGTTTTCAGATTTTAGAAAGGTGAAAGTATGTATACCTTTGATCACAAAAATATTGACATGCCTGTCATGAGAAGTGTGAATAAGTTGTATTAAGCAGGATTAATAAAAACTATGAATATTCTATCAGCTGTAGTCATCATGACTTGCTGTGAATAAGTTTAAAAAAGAAAAGAAAAAGGGAATGTCTCCGGGACTTCTTACTCCAGAGCTATAGATAAGGCCCTGTGAACCTGTGGTTACAGATCAGTGGGTGAACTGGACACAAGTGAGAGACCACGAGGCACAGGCACTCTAAGCTTTCGATTAAAAGAATAACAGCAAGAGAGAGAGATGGGCTTAAAGAGAGCCCACATCAGTGGAATGTGTTTGTCTGTTTTCTTTGTTTTCCTTTCTGCTTTTTGTTCTGATTCTTGTTTTTCTAAGTATATGGTATAGTTGAACAATTGTAAAAAAGAAAAAAAACTCTTGGAGAAATGGTAATAAAGACTACTAGAGAAAGAATAAGATAATATAATTCATGGAAACTGAAAAGCCTTAGAAGAGTTAGAGGGAGGGTGGCCCAAAAGCAGAGGAAATACCCAAAACGTGGCTTCCAAACAGACAGAAGTCTTGGGCCTCTCATCCTGGATTTCAGGGACAAAGCTGAAATAAAAGGATTCTTAAAATAAAAGGGGCCTTAGTTTACATGTTTCATTTTCCTAAGAAAAAGTCTGTAAGCTACTGCTAGGGTAAACCTTCTCACAACTTCATATTCTACCATCTTTATCAGAGTGACTCATTAATTTTTCACTGATGACTAGCAAAATTTTCATACACATTAACTTCCCACTGTGAATATTAGGCATTGTCCACTCATAACAGCCTTTTATTAAATTTCTTGTAGTGCATACTTTACTCAAAAAGACAGCTTGTTTCAAGGTAATTTCATATAAATGATCAATTGGCTAACATAATTGAATCTATAATACAATAATTATAATTATAAATATACTTAAAGGGATATCAGAACTGTCTTCTGAAATAAATTATCATTGCCTACACTGATGAGGTGCCCCACCCATAGGTTGCTGGGATCACAGTCTTATCAAACTTAACACAGAAGTGAATACCACATTGAGAAAGAAAAAAAAACTAACTTGCATTTAATAGAGCTGTAGTGGATCAAGGGGGGTAATGATTTCTATCCTTTTCCTGTAAATATTTCTGTTTCTTTCCTTTCCACTGATTTCACCTACTTTACAAAGTCCACTAAAGTAGTTTATTAAATCATCACTTCACGGTTAAAAAGAAGTGCCAATTTTAGCGGGTGGAATCCACATTATCCTAGTCTAAATTCCTGAATAAACTGAAGGAGTGGTGAGTAATATATTTATAGTATATGGATTTATAAGTAGCGTATCTTCTCCTTTCTTAGTCTTTTCTCTGCATAGCATAGTCTGGAACTATAATTAATTAGGGCTTTTATAACCTGGAGACTTCCTTGTATGTTTGTGAACTTTGCGAAGAAAATCAAAGTGTCTTCTCCTTCAACCTTCAGATGAATATTTAATTTGATTTGTAATCAAGAATTGTTCATATTTTATCATTTGAATCTTTCACAATACTACATGGTAAAGTGAGATGTTCAATATTACAGTGGATTTTCTCCTTTATAAGCTACTGAACATTTTGAAGTTTAGTATACTTTTAAAGTCTAGATTTTTAAATTCCTCTCCATGTGTTACCTCCTAGCCTCTTGAGTAGTGGTGTCAAATCTATGGCATGAGTCCTGCAGCAAGCTGTTTGGTACCATTGAAAGCTATAAAAGGTTCACCATCACTATCCGAGAAGTTCTAGCTGAGCCAGCTTTTTATTTAGTATACCCTTTCTATAACAGTTATTTGTCTAGTAGTGGCCTGTACCAAGAACAGCTATAACATGCAAGTTAAACCATCCCCACATTCAAAAAGCTAATTTCCATTTTATGAAACCTGTTTCTACAAAATGGTAACATGATGCTTGGCTACCTCAAGATACACAATTTTTTTGTCCATCCATCCTTCCTTCTGAGATAGAATTCTAGCACAATCCCACTAGTTTTGCACAGCATTACAGAAGATTCAAGAAAATGCTACTGCCTACCAAAAAGGAATTGATAGTTTCTAAATCTTCATTATAGTAAAAGGAAAGCCTTTCAGTGAGAGAATGGACTTGAGGGATTTCTTATGGGAGAAACAGGCAGAAGAAGTGCTTTTCACTGCTCTTGGAGTCAAATTCTGGCATAGAAATTTAGTACAAACAAGAAAATCACTCTGATATTTTCTCCAGTAAGAAATAAAGTACCACACTCCCAGTCTATTTTACTTATTGAAAATTAAATAGAACATTTGAAATACTCTAAGTACCACAGACTAGGTAACTATGTGTCTAGCTGACATGCTTGTCTTTTCGTAATCTCATACATCAAGTACCCATGATACCTAACACACTGGAAGTCACAGTTCAGGAGGACAAAATCACCACTGCGAGCATTTTTCCAGCATTGACTCCGTAACAAGGATTGCCATGAATTTTACATATGGTACCTTCTAATGGGCAACAAATTCCTTTTGCTTTATTTTCTTACCATAGTACCTGTTGGGTTATTCTGAATGAAATTTTCTTCTCTTAGATATTCAAAACTTATGTCTTTCTTGTGTTTTTTTTCCCTTGACTTGTAGGCCATTTATGCACTTTTTAAAAGAACTGTACTTCCTATTGCTATCAGTGGAATTCTAGTGTCAGTGTCAAATGGCAGCTAACCACACCAGGCAAATCTTTTCTTTTGAAAATGACTGAAAGAAGGTCTACCTCAGCATGTAGAACTTAATCATATTAGCTATTTTCCCCCATCCTTTTTTTCTCTCAAGGCAGACTATAAAATGAACTTTGATCAAATTAGTTCCTGTTTATTGCCACCAGACCTTCTCTACATGATGCTACTTTTCCACTTTGAAAGAAAGGTCAACTTAACATTCTGAAAATACTTTTTTCCCCTTCACAGTGTAGGAAATTTTAATCTGTAGATTGTGTTCTAGGTGTGACATTTAGAGGACACAGTGCTTTATAATCTTTTTCTTTTAGGTCCAGAAGATGTACCCATTCCCCATGAACCAGACCCCGATATCTCTCAGAGTGAACCTGGTAAATGAATTATTTTATTTTCCTGGGTAGAAAGTATATTTTAAAAAAAAATTATGAATATATTTTAATTGGTATAATATAAAAGAAACCCCAACATTTTTAAATGTAGACTGTATATTTATTTGGGAGAAGTTTAATCATATAATATGGTTTAAAGGTTTTTTTGCCCTGGTTGAATAAAAGAATAATATATGATGTTACCTTTTCTGGAGGTGTTTTCATTGAATGGAAGGTCATACTAAAATTATAAAGCATAATGAAAGAAGAAAAGAAAAAAATAAAATAAAATTATAAAGCATAATTATTTAGTAAACAAACAGTTTGTATCATTTAAAAATATAAAAGTAACTATGTTATGACCATAAAACGTATTTCTAAGTAGAAAAAGAATGCCTACTCAAAAGTTTTCCTCAAAATGATGAGAATGAAATCTTTAAAGCTTAAAGATTAAACTTGGTTCAGCTAAGTTTCCTGCATTCCCTTATGTAGAATTTGCTTATATTTGTTATAGTTCTTAAAGGATGTTCAAATGATTAAACGAATGCTTTTAGAAATTAAGAAATTATTCTGGCTTTACTATGTAGTAATTCTCACAAATATGTTTCTTTGGCTTGCTTTTGGAATAGTTCTGCAACCTGTTACCTTTAGAATTGAGCCACCAAAGACAACAATAGGTAATGGTTTTGCCAATTTAACCAATTCTGTTCTCTTTGCTACCATCAAGATTCCAGGTCTTTCCCATATGATCATAATGGAAGCTTCATTTCTGCTTAATCCATTTCATCATCTAACTCTCATTACGATTACTCTTTCGAAACTAAAAAAGCTATAGTTTTACTGCTGTAAAGTTTTGTTGTGACCACAAGGTTGAGATGGATCATTACTGAGTGGCTCCTGATCTACCTTGCTGTCTTCAGGAGTCAGCCTTGCATATCTCCTCCATTCAGTTAACAATGTCTGCTGGGTCAGTGGTTCTTAGCTGTAAAGTCACCACATAGTAGTTGTGACAAGTTTGAAAGTGTTGTAAGGAATTATTAATATTACTCAAAATATAGAAAATTTCCAGTGATATTTTGTAAAACTAAATATCAGAAGATTAGAAATTATCCCAATAATTTTGTAATTCTCTATGTTCTCTTGAGTGGGAGATTATAGGGACACAGCTACTTCTAACAGACCAGGATCATTTCTTATCCACACCCCATTGTAACCTGTATCCTCCTTCTGTGGGTCAAGCCTAGCTCATTTATTATGTGTCCTTGTAGAAAACAGGTTACGAGAACCACTGTAGTAGATGCTATAATCATTTTCCTCAAAGTTCTGTGCATATGCAGTTTCATCATTACTCAGATACTGTTTCCCTTTTTCTGCTTCAGATAAAGGACTAGCATATAATTCCATTCTGGCTTGATGCTGGGTTTGAGTTAAAAGTTTATAGCCTTGGTACTTTCTTTTGCAGCACCTTTAGAGACACGAGGCATCCCGCTCATACCTATAATTTCACCAAGCCTTGGTCAAGAGGAGCTACTGCCCACCTTTGGTAAATTTTGTTTTAAATTGTCAGTTGACTGAGAGATCTGCCCTGAAGGAGTTGCCCTTACATTAGGCATAAGAACAGTATAGTAATGGATTGTTTCCAAACAATATAAAGTCTCTTTTTACCATCATGCAAAAATGATCTGCATCCTTTTATATTTTCATATTAACTGTATATTTGTCCTTCCAATATTCATAGTGATTTTATTATAAAATTAATGTTTTCAAGTATGTTATTAAAATATCAAGTACAGTCAGCCCTCTCTGTGTCTGGGTTCTACATCTGTGGATTCAAGGAAACTCAAATCAAAAAAAAAATTTTGAACCTGCTTATACTGAATATGTTGGGATCTTTTTCTTGTCATCCTAAATGCAGTATCTCACCTATTTATATAGCATTTACATTGAATAAGGCATTGCAAGGAATCTGGAAATGATTTAAATGTATGGGGAGTGTATATAGGTCCTGTAACTACTGTTTTTCTTTACAAGGGACTTGAGTGTCTATATTGCAACAAGGGTCCTCAAACCAATTCCCCACAGACACTGATGGATAGCTGTATTCTGAGGATAAAATTGTTCCACAATCCATAATGCACTTTTTATTGAAGCTGATTTTGCCTAAATTTTAAATTACATTTAGAAAGAACATCGTGTCAGGGTAAGGCTTTGAAATTACACTCAGTCACTAGAACTTTGGGATTAGCCTAATGCTATATGCTGCTATGGGCATGGTAATGACATTCACAGCATACTGAGCAGGAAGTTTACCTAGAGACATCAAGGAAAGCCTCTGCCAGGAGGTGGCATTTACACTGGGCTTTCATGTTGGAAAGAGTGAAGAGGCACAGATCTGAAGGGGTCAGGATGGACAGGAAAGAGTCACTTTCAGACATGTGCTGCTGGACAAGTAGGTTGCCTGAAGAAATGAGAGAGTGGTTGGGTCAGAAAGATCAGTTGGCATGATCTGGCTATGCTTTCATGAAATTCAACACAAATATGTACTCTGTATAGGATCCCCTAGTTTGCCTGAGTCATGGGTAAAAATAACTGGAAAAAGTTCCCAGTTCCTGCTTATTGTCTCCTTTGACATTGCTACACCCTTATGGCTCTGTTTCCATTGGTGGTGACAAAGAGCATGATGTTGTATACTGTCATTGTGATGTAATAATTTCAAGACAATGAGAATAGACATATTCTCATACTTAGTTAAAAATGTTTCAGAATGTCAAAAACATGTACTTTTATTTTCACATAAGAAAACATAGAATTTATTCTCTTAAGGCATAAAGACATATCTTTTCATGTATGCTCTTTTTCTTGATTCATCTAAATGCCAGTGAATTTGTGGAGTAAGGAGGAGACAGAGAAGATAAATGCATAGACAAGAGATTTTCATTCATAAATTACACCTGAAAGTAGTTAATCTGAGGTCATGAAACAAAGGTCCTAGGCAAGGAGTGCTTGGAAATTCTAATAATAGTCATTAAAATAACAAAAGACAAAAACATAGTAAATAAGAGTTGTTAAATACACTACTAATTTTGAATTATTATGATTCTAATGCATATTTTAAAATGTAATTTACCCTTTTATCATTGCATGGAGCAGAAAACAACATGAGATATTTTTGGTTTTGCTTTTCTGTTATATTCATAATGAAAATTGTTTTAAATAAGTCAACTTTCTATATTTTTATCCAGAAGAAACAGACCACACCATCCAAGAGCTTTTCACAACTAAGATTCCACAAACAACTGAATTGGCAAAGACAACTCAAGGTAATCTTATTTCTCTGCCTCTGGAGAATGACTTCTCTTACTTGATTTTAATCAGGAAAGAAGCTTTCTTTTTGAAAAGTTGTTTGCCTTCACAGTGAACTACTTAACTTTTTTTCATTTTAAACATGAAGAGAATCCACGAAACCAAAACTTACCTGAGTTTCAGTTGACTTTAGAAAAGACAAGTTCTTTAGTTATAGCTTTCCATTCAAATATAACATCCACTGGATGCTAACTTGTAATGAAAACTCTCTCTTTTTCTCTTGCCTAACTTTCATGTGTCTCATTTTCTATATCTGATAAGTAGAGAAAAACATGCACGCTTTCCCTCCTGCCCTGCCTTGGCCCTGCCCTGCCTTGGTCCTCCCCTCCCCGCTTTATCTGCTTTTCTCCATCTGACTCATTCCAGTTCCTGATGAAACTCAGTTATGCTGTGGCCTGAAAAGTAACCATGGACAAGAACAAAACCATTTTTTAGTAGTGATATTATTTAAACATCCGAGAAGTTACTATTTGCTAATTTTGTGTTATTTCATCTCTCCGATTTCCTTCTTTTGGGGAAATATGCTCCCCTATACAAAGTTCTCAGAAATCATTTCATGCTCCCAGAAATCTTTTCTTTTTTGTATTTTCCTAGCCCTCTTGAATTATAGCCAGTTGTAAATATCTAGTACTGTGGTGCTATTGTTATTGTTTTAATGATCCCTTTTGCCCATCTTAATTAAATGGTAGAAAATGAAAAACAAAGCCAAAACCAATGGAAACTTTTTAAGGAACTGGAAAACAAGTAAGTTTGTTTGGAAGTTTGGAAAATTGGTGGATGAAATTTGAATTAAAAGGAAATGATAGCAATAAAAGCAGTCTAATTTTGAGTTATGCAGACAATACTTATTCTAAAAAGGTTACTCATTAGGACTGTGGTACAGGACAGTTTCTTCAAATTCTATAAACCTTTTTTTGTTTGATATTTTTATTCAATTTTCATTTCATTATTTATTAACATTTCTTTTAACATTTTATTTATTTATAAATATGCACAGCAGTTAGGAGCATGATTTCAGCGCTCTCATGTCCCCATTACCATCTTTAACTACTAACTGCAGATGGTCTGTTGTGCTACAACCACACCCCATCTATTTTTCTATGTTTCGTTAAAACTTTTTAACATTTCACTTAATAGAAGCTAGCTGCATTCTCATGACCAATGTTTTGGGACAAAATATATAAATATTTACAATAATCAGGATAAGTAATGATACTCATTCAGATCAGGCTACATTGCCAACTTTAAATAACAGTATTTCCACTTTTAAAAGATTCATGAATTCCAGGATCAAAGATAAAATATTGTAAGACTGCTTTTTCTTTGGTTTGATTTTTTTAAGAAATAGGATGGTTGGGGGCTGGGAAGATGGCTCAGTGGAATAAGCACTTCCCTGGCAAGTGCAAGGCCCTGAGTTCAATCCCCGGTTGCACCAAAAAAAAAAAAAAAAAAAAAATCTCCTCCCAGAAATAGGATGGTTGATTCTATTTTTAGGATTTATAGGATGTCATACTCCTTCTAAAACATTTTTATTACACGTGAGCTTAACACTTGACTGGGTATCTATGAAGGATGTGATGTTACTCTATGAATTATCATTCACATTATGTAATAAATTATATTTTAATTTTGTTCTCATACACTGAGGATTCTTAGGTTAGGCCTCAACTATGCTTTCCTAGGATTCCTGCTTTTCTGGGTTTGTAGCCAGAATCATTAGGGTGGGCTCACTTAGAATCCATGTACAGAGACAACAAAGAACAACTAAAAAATAATCCACCTTCAAGTGTGTGAGAGCATTCTCAAGTTGGCCCATCCCATTAAACCTGTGAGAGTAGTGTTAAATTTCTTTCTATTATAACCCCTGGGAAGAGTCAAGATAAGCCTCTAGATAATTTCACTATGCCTCAGCTGTTGCTTCCTTGCAGTAGGGCAAAATCCTGCCCACCACAGCCTTCTTATCAGAAGCTTATAAGTGAACTGCACTGTCACTGCATCATCCTCATAAGTATGCCTGAGTGCTGAGTCAGAGGACAATCTGCTATATTTTAATGTCAGGCATTCGAATATAAGAAAACACACAGCAGCTGAGTGACGCGCAGTAGAGATGAAACTATTCCTCTTCTTCATACTATGATCATGCATTTACCATTGATTAATATGGCTTTGTCATCTCTAAACTCTCAGCAATAGTTCCACTAGGACCTGTAGCATGAACCCACTGGTAGAGTCATACCTTTGTGTGTGTGTGTGTGTGTGTGTGTGTGTGTGTGTGTGTGTGTGCGCGCGCGCGCGCGTGCGCCTTACCTCTATGTCTACTGAGATAATTTCCCTTCAGGGTTTAGTAACTCAGTTCCTTTCCCCCCTTCTTTTAATTTCAGCCCACTTTGGTAATCTACTTGGCCAGAGGGTTTGGCTTGTCTGGGTATTTTCTCCCAGCACTGATCCCTCCCCAACCCAGGGCACGTAATCTTGTTCTTTGACCCCTGTAAGGGAGTGGAACTCGAGTCCTCAAAATGTTTCTCTCTAGTTGCTCTTTGTCTTTATGTTTTCTTCATGCAGTATTTTAATTTTTTAAAAGTATGATTTTTATAACACAATTTAGATAGGAAATCATCTTTTTAAATTATTTTTATTGTCGCTAACCCAAAAAGATGTTGTAATGTTTATGTGGTTCCACTGTCATATAGCAATTTTGTCTTCCTCCTTTTTTTAGCTTAAAATTTAAACGCCACAACAGTTTTCTCAAGGCCACATGGTGCTTGTTAAATAAGCTGTACAAAAACTCACAGCCTAAACTTAAATTACTTTACAACTCTTTTATTAAAAGTTCTTTCTCGATTTTAGTGGAGACTGAAAAAGCCTCCGGGCCCATGGCTTTGAAACAATGAATATACTGCTGTTCCTTTACTTTTGTGCTCTGCTCTGATATCTGTCCTGTTCAAAGTTTTAAAAGTCATGTTTTCTAGAATGAGACAAATCAGAACCATGAAGCAAAATCAATCTAACATTAATAAGGGCATACACAGACACACACACACACAAAGCAGAAATAAGTTAAATTGACAAGAGTTTTATTCCACTCTCAAAGATGAATGCAAACATTTGCAACTCATCATCAGAACTTTTAAAGTGCATGAGGATTAATTTTTTCTCACATCAATACCTCTACTATAACCTCACAAAGGATAAAGATGAACCCCTAGAGAGCTGCACTATACCTCTGCTGTTGCTGCCTTGCAGTACAGCAAAATCCTGCCCACTATTTTCTTATTGGAAGCTTGTAGATGAGTTCCATTGTGCAATATTTCACAGGTATATTTTGTTTTATAAACCAGGTAGGCGAATCATTGCTGATTTATAGTGATATAAACACCCACTTGAGATGTGAACAAAATCATCAAAATGATGTAACCTATACACAGTTGGAAAGAAAAATTTTTTCCAGTATCAGCTGAAACTGTAACTAAACAGTTGCTTGCAAAAGAACCCAGCATCTAAAATAGGATCTCAAGTCTGCATCTTGTACAGCAATTAACCACTAAGAAGAATGTATGCAGTGTGTTAGTTATTGAAACTGTCCTAGTGATTTGATTTGAAACTGTCTCATTGCTATTTGTTTATCAATAAAATTATGAAAAAAAAAAAAAAGAACCCAGTATCTGGTATGAAAGAGCCAGAGAAGAGCTAAAGAATGTTGGACAAATTCCAGGGTAAAAACACACTTTAGAACCTTAAAAAAATATTTAGTAGCTTTTAGCAAGTTTGCCAGCTTAATGGCAATGGTTACCTATTTATTGATTCATAAGACCTCATTCGGGCTTCTTTGTGTGTGGGGCCTAGGCAACAGAAGCAGAGACTGAGGAGGAGCTGCTGGGCCTCAGGGCTTACTAATTCTCACTCCTTGCTCGCGTGTCCTTGGTGGTGGGGACTAGGCATCCTTCTCTCATTCCTACACACAGCACCATTCTGGAGGGCACTGAGTGTTTATTGCTCTCATGAGTAAAGACAACTCAAGAGAAACCACTGCTGCTAATTTTCTGATCAACAAAAAACTTTATTTCTCTTTTTGCCTTTAAGTTTGTCTTCTTTGGGAAAAGTTTAACATTGATTCCTTACTGAGAGACATGGATGGGTAGATGGATGGATGGATGGATGGATGGATGGATGGATGGATGGATGGAAAGATGGAGGGATGGAATGGACGATCTTTCTGGTAAAATCAATGCACTTGATAGACATGGAATAAATGATGACTGCTTCTTAGCACAATTATAAATGCCTTACCTATTTGATTTTTCTTCATGATGCATTTTTAGCATAACGTGTAATGAGTAATTATAGAAGAATAATTATAATGAATTGTAATGAATAATTTGAGATTTCAGAACATTCTATTTCCTCACAAAGTCTATGAGCCGTTGATTCTTAGGGTAAAAATATTCAGTGGCTTTGAAATATTAACTGTTAAATATAAAGTGTTTTTTTCTATTTCAGCACCACGCAGACTGTACACTACTCCCATGAGGCCCAGAATATCTGACAAACCACATATTAGACCTGGTAAATTTATTCTCCTTCTCTAATGATCTAAATAATCCACAGGTTGGAGAGATATAAAATGGACTTGAACATTCAAATTCACCAATGGGGAATATATATATATATATATATATATTCCAATCCTTGTAGTTATGTAGAAAAGTTCTAATGAATCCATGAAAATGATAGAATTTAAGGTTTTTCATGAATGTTCAGATTTGGAGAGCACTATGGCACTTTATTGATTTGAAAATGATATTTTGAGAATCACACACTTTCAATTTTCTGTGACAATTTCAAATGTTATTTCTCTGTTCAGAAAACATTGTCTCTTCTTAGTATAAAAGGTCTTTTAAGGGGAGGACTTGTTTACTTTATTCTTTCAAAGGATAAAAATATTATAAATTATAAATAGTCAAAATAAAGTCACAATTATATATTGGGAAATACTTTAAACTTACAAAATTCTCCAAAGACCCTAGGATTTTCTCCAGAAAGATTTTTTAAGGAAATGGAAACAGCTTCTATAGTGAAGTACAAATAGGACAAAAGATATCTTTCATCCTTTTTCCTATTGATTCTAAAGAGTCTTCCTAAAGTTTTAACTGCTCAAACTCACTTTGAAGGAATAAACTTAGTGAATGTATCTACTTCCAGGTAGGTGAGAAGAAAACAAAGAATTTTTATATTATTTGTTGTCTAGATAGTCTATATTTTGTCGATAATCCTCTAACTCCAGTGGTAATTAGACACAGATATCCTTTATAAACAAACATCTTTCTGCATAGCTTTTGTTGTCACAGTAGCTCTTGAGAGTTCAATATGTGGCTGGTTAATCATTTCCACAAAGAAGGAAGTGTTTGACAGTGACTGAACGTTTGCCTTCTGCTGTCTCAGGAACAGCTGAAGAAACTGAGTTTCTGGGAGAAAACAAAAAAGGGGCTTAAAGGCAAGCAGACTGGCTCCAGAGCTTGCCCACAAAAGCACAATGTGCTCCACACACTTCTTTAAAGACACTTCCCTGTGACTGTGACATAGGCGGCTTCTTAAAGTTTTGCTAGTGTGTGGCATTCTATGGAGGAGAGAGACTGAGATGTTTTCATCATAGTTTAGTGTTCAAAGCAGTTGTCTGTAGGGGCTATTATAATAAAGTAGCTGTCCCTTAAAGGCTCCCACGAAAGGACCATCTACTAATGAGTTATAAATTCAGGCCTTTGTGTTCAAGTTCAGTTTTCATTAGACATACATAGTCCTGCCCTTTCTTTAGTTCTGTTTTTGAATGGATCTAATGTTTATAAATGAAGCAAGATAAATATTTTCTATTTAGATTTAGAATTACCTGCCAGTTATTTTTTGAAGCCAAATATTGAAGCCTAGTCACCATCTCAGTAAAAATTTAGGCCTCTGTTTCCAGGCTCAAGTCTATGATTTTATAGCAGAATGTAGTTTCTATATTCTGAAAAATGTTGTTTAGTAATTTTCCTATTGCCTCATTAAATCACTCGCGATTCTTTATGAACTTTGTTCTCTTTTCTTAGTGGCAAACTTGTAACAAAAATTTAAACTATTCTCTATTTTTTTAGTTCTGAATAGGACAACTACAAGACCTATTAGACCCAAACCCACTGGGATACCCAGCAGGAATGGAGTGGGAACAGGTAATCCAAATTTATTTTCTTTTAGTCTTACCAAAAATATAAAACCTAGTTATTTTTATATAAGTTTGCTAAATTTATACTATATTCTCTCTTTTACTTAGTTCTGTGAATTCTTTGTAAAACTAGAACTGAAAGTTACAATGCATGCCCAAATCAAAACATCAAATGTCTCTAAAAATATTGGAAAATAAGATTTCACTTTTCTAAACCCAGTCCACTAAATAGGTACCACAACAGTTTTACTTCTTAACATGAATTCTGATTAAATATAAATTATTTTTTTTTAATTTTTATTTATTTATTTATTTATTTGAGAGAGAGAGAGAGAGAGAGAGAGAGAGAGAGAGAGAGGCCAGCTCAGCCCACCAGGGGGCAGGGCTGGCTGGCATGTGGTGCTGGGGGATTGAACCGCGGTCCCTGATGCTTTTGCTAAGCTTGTTCTAAGTAGGTGCCTTAGACCACTGAGCCATCTCTCCAGCCCTAAATATAAATTATTGAATGAGTGTGATAAAAATAGATATTTTCCCTAATTCCAGAATACTTTCCATTTAAAAGCTGATCTTTGAGATTGCAATTACTTGGTTTTCAAATTTGTAATTTTTCATAAAGACTTGCATGTGTCATGATTTTCTACAAGACTTGCATGTGTTAATGGTCTAGTATACAGAAATGAAAAAAGAAGCATATTTAATCAGCAAAATTAGCAACTGGTCATCCTATTTGAAGCAATATTAATGTTTAAAAATCTTTCAGCTTAAGTAAATTATTATTTGATCACATTTATAGAAGTAGTAATCATTATGAGTAATTAGGACACTGATTTGATGAAACGTGATTGTATCATTTCCTTGAAATATTTTACTAGTGTAAATCTTAGCTTGCTTACTAAATGAAAACATGAAGATTGAAATTTATTTATGTGTATTTAATTGAACCCTGATGATCCCATAATGAGAAAGAGGTATCCTGCCTATTTTGTCGAAAAATCCTTTAAATTTGAGAATTTTTTGTACTTTCATTTGATTGTTACAGTATTGGAAACTTTAGGAATTTACTTTTCAAGTAAAAGTAATTCTCATCAAATAAAGTAATAAGGCCCATAATTTAAATTCCTAAGTCATGAAAAACAAAAAAGTATTTAGCATTTACTTATGCCCGGCTATTCTTTTTATTCTTCCCAACTATAAGATTAGACAAGGAATAATTTCTCATATTTGCAGAAAAATCTGAGAACTGTCTTTTCTCAGATCATTCTAGGAAGAAAGTAGGTACAAATTATTTAATGTTAAAACAATTCCTTGAAAATTACATAAATCAAAATAGAGTGTTGGTCAGATAGCTCAGCAGATTAAAGCGCCTGCTTAGTCAGATGCAGGGACCAGGGTTCGATCCCCAGCATGCCATGCTGGCCCCACCCCCCAAGTCAGGCTGAGATTGCACTTGAGACTAGGTGTGGTGGTATGCACCAGTAACCCCAGCTCTCGGGAGGCTGAAAACAGGAGAATCACTACAAGTCCAGTCTGCGTAATGAGACCCTGTAGAATCTGTACTAACTAAATTTAAAAAAAAAAATAGAGAAAAGTATTTAAATGTCAATAAAGCAAATGAAAGAACAAGTAAAGTTGCTACGATCACACTTGAAAGCCATTAGCCTTAAATACAATCAAACATTAATTCTTATTAGGAAATGAATATTATCTTTTAAGGAGAAACAGGATTACTATATTTTATCTTATCATAAATCATACATTTTTCAGAGCCACATGTATCATGTACTGATATCTATTGCTCCTATGTTCATAAAACCAGCTTTCCAATAATAACTCATCCAGTGTAGCTTTGGAAGAACTTGTCAGTGTTTCTACAATTTAGTTAGTTGTTGGTGGACAGAGGTAGAGAATGTAGAATTCAGTTTCCCTTTTTCTTGCTGCTCTTTATCTCTCACCAAAATTTGTTGTACCTGTTCTGTATCTTGTCATTCTGTTGGGATCATCTGTCAAGAAAGGACTCAGTTCCCCTGTAATGAGTAAGGTCAACAGACCAAATGGTGTCCTGATGTCTTCTGCTTTAGAATCAGTCTTAGCTGAGAAATCCTTAAATGGATATAGGACATTACATCTCTAGGTCTACCACAGTAACATATAGTAGCCCAAAGGAATTTACCCTAGTCTGTAATAGTCACTCCACATTCTGACTAAGGCATTTCACTAAAGAATAAAAGAAAAAATATGACCATTTGAGCAGTTTAAGCAATCTACATCAAGTTCAAAATTCACTTATGATGAAAACTCAGGAATTTAGGAATAGGTTTCTTCAATCTGATAAAGGGCATCTATGGAAAAACCTACAGCTAACACCACACTTTAATGTGAAAGACTGAATGCTTTTCTCCCAAGATTGAGATTACAGCTACTTTTACCACTTATATTCAATATAAAAGTGGAGAGTTTAGCTAGTGTAATAAAGCAATAAAATAAAGAAATTCCGTATGTCAGAAATGCTAAGTAAAATGACTATCTACATTCCACAGTGCAAAGGAAAATGTAATACCTCTCAGATACTTGCTGGGAAATAATACTAAAGAAATCAAGATTTCCAAAACCTATCAACTCCAGCTTATAGATTTGCCTGAATCTACCTTCCTTTTATTCTGCATAGTTTTAATCTGAGTTGTTCATAGAAATGTAACTATTCACAATCGGTTTATTTTTTTCTCTGATAGAATTCGTCTATCTCATGCACATTCACCTATATCTTCTATTGCTTCTTAATCAGAGGCTTTTTTATGTCAATTGAGTCCATATTCAATTTTGAGTTTTTGCCCAGAATATTTATCTTTATTATCCATCTCACATATATTTTCCAATAGTTCATAAATAGCTCATTTAAAAATTAGTTAATAAAGGAAGTTTTAGGGTCTGTAGGACATGTTATCTAGGGTCACAGATCACAAAATGTTTTTCTTTTGGGAGAAAGAAAGCAAAAAGCAAAAGATTTGAGGCCTTAAGAGTGAACCACTCACTAGTAGAGTATTTTGAAAGAAATATTTCAATAATTCCTTTACCCTTAAAAATCCTTTAGCATTCTTAAGATCAAATTTTTATTTATTTCATAGCATCATTAATGTTTTCTCTGCATTATGAATATCTTATACCTACATGTGTAGATTTTCTTTTATATCAAGCTTAGAAATAATCTACAAAAGTTAATATTTTCAGATGGGCCAGCCAAATAGCTCAGTGGATTAAAGCGCCTGCCTTGCCAGCCCTGCCCCCAAGGCGCGCTCAGACAGAAATTGAGAGTGGGCATTGAGACTGGGCATTGAGACTGGGCATGGTGGCATACCTGTAATCTCAGCTGTTGAGAGGCTGTAAACAGGTGACTCACTACTGAGTTCTATCTAGTAGTGAGACCCTGAACACCCACCCTGTAGACCCTTGAAATACAAAATAAGTAAATAAATAAAGTTAATATTTTAGATGGGTCATTTTCCTAAAATTCTGCCTTATTGATGTTTCTAGAGATGTGTTTAGTTTAGTGATATGTTTCATATATTAGAATCTGGTAAGTTGAATTCATGTGACTCAGACAGCATAGCCTTTATCATTAAAATATTTATGGTTGACTCCTTACAGAAAAAGTTTGGCAGCCTCTGTGCTAGACTCTCTCTTGACTGTTTCTCTGAAGAAAGAAGATGTTGAGTTTTTGACCTTTGTTCCCATTCAACCAACAGTTATTAAAGCCCCATTATGTGGCAGGCAAATTGTAATTCTGAAACTATCTCGTCAGATATTACTTGATGATACTGTTAAATTCTCAGACCTCAGATTGTTTTCTCCAAATCCTAATGAGAAAACCACACTTTCCTCCCTTCAAATGGACTGTGCCTCACAATGAGAACCCAGACTCCTTGGGGTGAGGAATGTGTTTTTCTGGGCTGTGACTAAATCTTCCAGGCTGCTGGCTCATTGCTCTTGAAATTTTAGCCAGGTGCTAAGATTTGGAGATTTGAAAGGTTCAGAGACCAGGCATCTGTATCCATAAATATCATCTTCCTGGATACAAAAAAATGGAGATATTCAGACATGTGAAAATTGATTCCCAGTTTACTATGTTTGTTTTCAAGGTTTTCATTACTATGATAAAAAAATACACAAATCATTACTTGTTTTTAACAATAACTTGCGAGGGGGCAAACTATGTAAATCCAGAGATTTTTGGAGAACTCCCATATGGCAGTTGGTGGCTCTTTCTGAGGCACAAGGCCTGATGCTTCCAGAACTCACTCTGCCCTTCGGAATACGCACCATTAATCCTGTGTGAGGGAAAAAGAATTCAGGTTACGGCTTGGGCCAGACTGCTTGCTGAGTGCCAGTTCTGAGGATGCATTTTCTGCAGACACATCTTCACTGGCTGCCTTATTTCTCCTCTCCCCACCTTCTGTTGTCTCTGGCTCTCACTTGCTTTGGTTCTCCTTTGACTCGGGTCAACAGAAGTTCACTAGTCTATCCGGAAGTGGAACACAATGTCCGGTCTCAGACCTTTCTACTGAGCTCCACAGCTGCCTTTGGTAAGATCCTTCCCAGTGCTGCTACCACCACCAGCTCTTTGCATCTGCAAAAGCTGGAGAAAGTCCAGTTAGCAGCTGATATGCTATTGACTTGGGTACTCACAACTAAGAATTGCAACATTAAGATGCTTCTGATTCCAACTGTATGAAAAGTAATCTTTTCTTTTTTAAATATATTTGTTCCAAGCTATGTAGCTTGGACTCTTAGTTATCCTCCTATTTTGAGTCTACCTAGCGCTGGGCTTGCAGGTGTGTGCCACCACGCTGGTCTTGGTGGCCAGCTCAGTGCTCCTGTGGATGGAGCCAGCACCACATTTGGTGCTGGGGATTGAACCCCAATCCCCGCACTTTCCTAAGCAGGCACTTAGTCCTCCGAGCTATCAAAAAGTAATTTTCTGAAAAACATTCCTCGCTGCCTCTTTCCATACTC